CTGGGGCCAGGCCTGCACCGGGGGCTGGTACCGAAGCGGGAGGGGGGTGGGCTGGAGCTCACCGGCTGCTTAGACGGGTGGGGCCGGGGGAGCGGGGCTGGTCGCCGGGCACAGCCACCCTTCACCGGGTACGTCCCCTTGGGCGTATGTGTGGGGTGTTTAGTGGTTTCGTGGTGGTTACGGGGCAGGGGTCTCCGGTAAAACCGGGCGGCGGCGGGGTGAAGGCGTTGGCGGAGTTGTTTACTACCCCGGGAGACCTCTTCCCTCCTCGGGGCTGGGACGCAGGCTGGCCTCGGCTGCTTATCTCACGCTTTAACTCTTTCAGGTGGTTTCCACTTGGAAAACCTCTTTCCCAGCGTTGCTGGCACGGAGGCAGGCGTTTTCCCAATTACGCTGGAAATTGAGCTAGTTAAAAATTCAAATCAAGGGTCTTTTTAATTAAAGTGCTCTCCCAGGGATTAAAAACCGCACAAAGGCTGGTGCGTGAGGACTTGAAGGTTAAACTGAATCCTTTCACTGCCTTGGGTGGGAGAGGCACCAGAAGTAAGCTGAGGGGTAAAATTGATGTTAAAACCTGGAATGGTTTAATATTATTAGTCTAGCTGTGGTTATCTTAAAACTCTGTCCTGATATTGTGACTTAATTATTTGCTATGAGCAGTGCATCTCCTTGTTGACTTAAAACTCACTGTAACGTTGGCTGCTTCTCCACATTAACATCGATACTCACTGAGGGCAGGTTTGCCATATCCAAATTCCATCTTTTTAGAGGCTGTCGAGGTTTGTGCTGATGAAAACCCTCGGCAGCCGCGCATAAATCCTGCACTAACCTGTCACACGCTATTGTACCTGAACTCCAGGAAATACGCGGGCGCCGCATACCAGGGTGTTGCTGCACCTGAGGTGTGTTTGCTCGACACGTTAGCCGAGTATCAGGTCATTTATTATCGTTAACGTACCCGAGGTGTGTATTAACTGCATGCCCTGCTGAATATCCCCCAGGCAGGAGAGGTGACACCTCACCGGCCTCAGGTGCAACAATATACAGCAAGGTGTGGGCTGTAGGTGCTCTAGCCTGGTTTATTGTTGCTGTTGCGACACCCGCACCAGTTCATTGTTGCTTTACTGAAGGAGTGTGTGTGTGGAGCTAGGCCAGATGGTGTATTGTGCCTTCTGAACGAGTCTAAGACTCTTTTCAGCTGCCAGGTAATGCATTATTGCTCCTGACATTCAAACCACTAATCCACTTTATATTGTTTCATTTGCAAGCTAAAGCTATGCCGCTGCCTGCTAGATAAAAATGCAAATGCACCAGCCAGGCTTTTCATTTTGGTGATGGGCTGTTATTTAGCACGGGAAAGAGTTTGCAGAGGAAAAATGAGTAGGGCATCGAAGCTTGCAGGCACTTTGTACAAGAGACATGGTCTGACCACCTTAAAGGAAGACCTGGAGTTGTGCTAGGGATGCTGGAAGTTGTCTTTCACTTTTAAAACTGGTATCTGGTAGGTTATTTGTTGTTTTAGAACAGAAATATGTCTGTTTTGAAAATGTGTTAGCAAAACAGTCTTTTTTAAGTCTGTGGCTTGAATAGGACAGTGCTGGTTGTAAACAGGGTGGTGGGAGGTGGCCAGGAGACTAGCTTGTCTGTAGTTGGCCTTTCCTTTGTTTCTCTAGGCTGACTGTATTTTGATATCAATGAACCTTGAAGGGCATCAAGTGAGATGTTTAAACATCTTTTTACATTAAAAAAAAAAAGCTGAGAAGGACCATCTTTGTCAGCAGTTCCAGTTTGTGACACAAAGTCCAAAATACATATGCTGATTTTAATAGTTGGGGATTAAAGGTGTAGTTGTCTTTCTAGGATTTACTGTAGATCAGAGCTGTGTTTCTGACTGTGGTCTGTTCTGTTGGCCTTTGCTCAAGAGGAGGCTAGTGCTGGCTCAGCATGGGCTTGCTGCAGGTCAAAATGGAGAGCTAGGAAAGCTCTCAGGTCCTTTGGCTGGGAAAATCGAAGGGAGGCCGTGCCTGGGGCTTGAGATACACTGGCAACTCTGGGAACCAGAAGCAGGAGTTGCTTGGTACTCAGCAGTCTGCTCCAGGCTACAGTGATCTTCGCTTTACTCTTGTCTCGCCCTAATGGGGAAAAATAATTGGCCAAATATAGGGTTTTAAGACAAACATATAAAATGTAAAGAATTTAGTAACGTAATGAAAGCATAAAAAAAATTAGAGATAACTGGTGTGCAATAAATTCCTGCCCATTTTTTAATGGGAATATGGTCAAACTTATCATCCCAGCTATCTCCTTTTAAGGTAGTATTTTCAGAAGCACAAACCCTAGATGTTAAACCTAACATTTCAAAAGTAATTATTTAGGAAGCATGACACAAAACTGAACTGCTGGGACCGTGGACAAAGGCATTTCAGATGCTGTCTTTGGGATATATGAAACTGAGGTTATAGCGAATGTGTTCAGCTTGAAAATACAATTAAACAGTCTGAAAATTGAATGCAAGTTTGAGCCTGAGGCTGTTAAACATGAAGCTGATTGTTTCACGGTCTCCTGCACAGGAAAGAGTATTGGCTTTGCACTCTATTTATCCTCTTCCTGGGGAAAAGATGAAAGCATTTTATATTCATACAGACAAATATTTGTCTATCTTTCAGATTCTGCCAATCTCCCAAGGTCGGGGCTTGAACCCTGCCAGATAAAGTCAAAAACGCCCCCCTCTTTTCCCAGCCATGCAAACTGCGGGATGAAGCTGGAAGCTGTGGTCGAGCAGCTGCAGAAGCAGCAGCAGAAGCAGCAAACACCTCTGCAGATGGATTCCAGGGAGAGACAGCAGAGGCAGATGAGAGAAGCCCAGCTGCTCTACACCCAGCAGCTGGCTGTGCAGCAGGCTGTCCTAGCAGCCACATCTGGCAGGGCTTCGGGCGGCTCTGCTGTTGGTCCCTTGGCCAGAGGCCCGTCTGCAGCGGGAGCTACACGGGCTTTTGATCAAAGCAGCATGAATTCGGAGCCAGAAGAGGAGGAGGAGGATGAAGAGGAGGATGAAGAGGAGGAGGAGGAGGAGGAGGAAGAAGGGGCTTTGGAAGGTGTCGATCTTGAGGATGGTGCTGATGTGACTGGAAAACAAAGCTGCTCTGCTCTGAAATATTTTCATGCTCCCAAAGTTGCCCATCACAACCAAAGAGTGGCCTCTACCTCTAATCCTCTTCCAGCTTCAGGGCACCAGCGGGGACAGCAGGGCAAAGAAGAACAGGGTAAAGACACTACTAAGCAACCGTATTGCGGTTCCCCGTCTGGACGCCAGAACTGGCGGTTGGACGAGCAGCTCAAACAGGTCAGTGTTAACGTTACTTCCTTCTGAATAAGAATGACCATGGTCAGTCAGACTGAGGATTTCTTTAGCCCAGTGTCCTGTTACAAGCACTGGCTGTTAGCAAGGGTGTTAGAGAGAGTTCAAGAAGCAGGCACGTGCAGAGCGATGCTCCTCTGGTGTACGCTTGCAGGTTTATTATTTTAGAAAGAGATTTTGCAGGAACTTGATTTGCTTTACAGATTCAGGTTTCCAGCTAATGATATAGAAACCCCAATCTGTCAGAGCCTTTGTAGGGAGGTGAAGGCTTGATCTTTGACATGTTTATTTTCTACCTCACTGCTGCTGTGCCATTCAGAATGGAACAGGCTAGTGTTATATTTATTTTTGGTGCAGACACTTGCCTGCTAATGTCTCCTTCAAGTTATTTCACATACGACATCTATAACCCCTTTGTAAGACCCTCAGGATGCAACGACTTTGGATTTTTGGTTGGTGGTGTGGGCAGGCAGGGAACAGTGTGTGTCCTACCACTGATCCTGTGAGTAAGCAGAGCCACTTCATATTTCATGTGTGGGAAGGAAGGAGCTCACTTGCTACTGCTTGGATTTGGTAGGAGGTTAATTCTGTGTTTGAATGAAGAATTAGTACTCCTTGTAGATAAACGCCAGAGGAACAAGAATTCTTTTCTTTGTTGCAAATGGGTATTTCAGTTAATGTAGTACTTGTGTGCTGTTTTGTTACACAGCTAACTTGAGTACAGATTCAAAGACTTTTACAGCATTTATGTGTATTGAAATTGAGCCAAAGGACTGCACAGTGTAAATAAAGAAGGAAAAATAAGTTGGATTTGTCATTTTCTGCAGATGTTAGCATGAGTGTGAACAGGGTTAGATTTTGCTTTAGGTAATTCTTGGAGCTAAGAAACCTTGTATTGACAAACACAGCACTGTTTTCTTTCCCTCCTGCAAACTCTATGAAGGAAAAAAGCTGGAGATGCCTTGTGGCTGGTGAACCGTAGGTGTTGGAAAGTTTGCTGTGAATGCTCAGAGCAGGCTCTCCCCTTAGCTGCTGGTTGTGTGCACAAGATGATTTGTTTTATGCTGTCACATGGAGTAGTTTGAGGAGGAACTGCCAAAGCCCAGCAAGCTTTATTTCTTCTCCCCTTCCATTTAGTGTGGCCTGTAGGCCCCTGCCTAGCTGTTCCTGCAAAACTGTACCAGTTTGGTGTTTCTACACCAAGACCTGTGGCAGGAATTCCTCTAAGTTGCTGCGTGAATGGCATTTGTGCTACTGGTGCTATAAAGCATGCTGGCAAAGCAGCCTTGGTGCATGGGATGCAGCAGGCAACCCATTGCTGTTGTCTTTTCTCTGTGCTTGCTACTCAAGAGGGGTTGGGTTGAAAAAGAGAGTTACTCAAGTTGTAGGGAAATGAGGTGGGTATGTCAGACGGGATGGTTGCTAGAGAAATTGCTTCAGAATTTACTGGATTGGAGTGACTGGCAAAAACTTCCTCTTTCAGGTGTCTGGGTGGAGAATAGTAGGTGGGACTCTGGTGTTAGAAGGATCACTTTCTCTTAAAAAAAAAAAAAACAACCTATACACCGAAAAACCAATAAACTTAGCATTAGTCTTTATTTCCGGCTAGGCCGGAGCTAACAAGTATGTCATTGTGCTTCTTTCCAATACTTGGTTATCTTGAGAGTCCTGTGAATCTTACTGAACTAATAGGCTTGATTCCTAGGTCATTTGCCCAGTTCTGGGAAGACAAATGGCTATAAGCATGCCAGATCTGGTCTTAGTTGATGTGGAATAGCAAAAAAAACCCCAAAACTACTTCTTTACAGCTGGCATACTGTGCACTAATACCAATCCAGTTATGCTGGGCTGTTTCAGCAGTAATCAGGTATATTGGTAGTAGATTGCAGCTTAGTCTGAGTTTAGACCCACTTACTCTGGAAGCCAGTGCACAAAACTTCACCAGGAAGCAAAACTTAAAAAAAGAAAAACATGTTGCTGCTGTGTTAAAGTGTGTTTCACTGCTGGGAAGGCACAAAGTACAGTGGTAAAGAAAGGAGTTAGCGACTTCCATGGACATCAAGTTAGGGAATAAACTATAAAGGACTGTCAGGTACGTGCTGTGCTACAACTGTTGTGGGTGGTGGGAAGGTACGGCAGAAAGTTGTCCCGAAATACTGTTTCCTGGTAGTGTCATTGAAGGTGGAGTACTGGGCTAGATGGTGTGCTGGCCCGGCGAGGCCTGGCTTACATCCAGAGTCGTGCTGGTGATCGCTGTTACGAAGGTGCTATGGTGTGCTCAACAGCCCATAGTGAAGTGCCCAATATTAGTGATGCTGGTGCAGTATATTCACCTTGAGTAGGGTAAATATTGCAGATCAACTTGTTTGCATTCACCAGTGGAGTCTGCATACCAGGCAGTAAAAATTTAACTGCGGTATACCAGTTCAGAGCTGGTGAGCTGGGAACTGCGTGGAGGTAGGAATAAACCAGGGAGCCAGACAGGAACTGCTAGCTGGGGTAGCAGCAAAGGGGGAGAAATGTGTGTGCAGTGGTGGGTGTCCATGTAACTCTGTATGCTAAATGGCAGCATGCTGCCCCAGTGCAGACCTTGTTTGAAATTTTTCATTTCAAGGCTTACTTTAAAGATACCGGGCTTTTTCTTTGTCTAAAGTGGCTGCGTTAGGCAGCAAAAACAGAATCAAATGCAAAAGTGCCTGTATTCTCCAGGTTGTTTTCAAAATGATTCCTGAACTTGTCTGGTTTTTAGCTTCTGTTGAGATGGTGGCTAATAACCAGTCAGTGTACACTGCTTCCAGCTAGCTCTGCTCTGCGAGTATTTGTGGTATGCATTGACTGTTGCTTGTGAAAGAGGGAGAAAGTCACTTCTATTTCTTTTCAAGTGTGGATTGTTCCTCTGAAAGTGATGCCTTTGGACAAAAATGTATGTTGAAAGTGTAAGGCTAGGATTGCCTGGAAGATTTGTGGTATGAAGATGGCAGAAAGATAGAAACTACCAGCAAGATCAAGCCCCATTCTGTTCAGTCCCGGACAGCCAAGTAAATAATTGTAGAACAAGCCGGCAGACAAAAGAGCTGGCTCAGCTTATGACACAGGGGCGGTGGGAATCCTGTCAGCACAAAACAACAAGGGAGTGGAGTTGCTTGTCGGGGAGTTGCAGTCCCGAAAGAAGAGCCGGGGGGGTTGTGCTCAGCTTGTTCGCTCCTCGGACTTGCTCAAATCCCTTGCAAATCCATCACTGCTCCGACAGCCAAAGGCTCCAGCAGCCGTCCTCAAAAAGGGCGTTGTGGGCTGCCTGTCTTTGAAGAAAAATGAGTTTTTAATTCTGCGGGTGAAAATGTTGCTTTTAGCAGATGGTTGGGTGTGGGTCCTCGTCCCGTGGGTTCTCACATTGCTCGGCGATGTCTCTGGTTACCTGGGAGAGCCGTGCAGGAACGGCAGGACCACAGCCGCTGTCATGCTGGTGCTGTTTGCTCCTCTTCCACCCGAGGCTGGTGTGCAGCCCTAGTATGAGCAGTTTTGTCAGGCTCTTACCACAGCGCACACATTAGTACGTGCATTCCTTCGTGGAATGTAAAAATAAGGCCAAGGTTTTCAGGCATCAGCTGATATTTAATGCCTTCTTAAATACAGCAAGGTAAGTCTCTATAAAGCAGCTGTCTGACTTTTAGAGAGTGGCTTGTGGTCTGGTTTTTGGGGATGTCTCATGTTAGATTCTCAGAAATCACCAGTCACTCCTGAAAATCCTGACCTAAACTTTTACAAAGGTCATGGTGTTTATTAAGATAAGTCAGCTTAAAATAATTACTTTGGTTTTGCTCTAGGGTCTAGGAATGAGTGGCTGAGATTCCATAACCTTAAGTATGTGCCTCAAGTGGTGTGTGTATTGAGGTATTGCTCAGGAGATACTCATTAATCCAGAGGGGGTGAAGGTCCCAGGAATAAAAAAAGTTGCATTTCACACGGTGCATTTTTTTGCCTCCTAGTTATTTCAGATATCTAGGGCCCAATTCAAGGGTTGGAGTTTTAATTCCTTATATGGATCATTGGGTATCTTTCTTTTTATGATGTAGTGGAAGGAGAATGCTTCATTAATAGCTGTGTTAGATATTTGTTTTTTCTTTTACTGGAAGCTGTTTTCTGTAAGAACAGATTCTAATTCTTAAATTGCCAGTTGCTGCTTCTCTTGAGATTCATGGTTTAGGTTTGTTTTGATGAAATCTTCATCCCTGCTTCTGCCATGGCACTTAACTTGGTATTCATACTCATATGTAACTTAAATTGCAGCATCAGTGGTTGCAGCAACTGATTTTTGTTTAGTACACCGAATAATGTATGAGAGGAGAACCAAGTAACTGCCTGTGATAATGTCTGTAGGCAGCAGCCTGCAAACAACTTGTGTTAGACATCAGAGAATTCCCCCCAATCTTCATCTCAGGAGGCAGTTCCAGAGGCTTCATCAAGGCTATGTTATATTGCAGCAACTGTGCTATATCTGGAACAGAGCGAGGAACTCATTTATATCCTGGGGAAGATACGGCCCATTTTAGCATTGGTTTGAGTGCTAAATTTATCTTTAGGAATAGTTGCAACTTGTCTCCTTCGGTGCCAATTTATAGAAATTCTAGCGAACACTGGAGAATGGTAGGTGGAAAGAGCTCGAATGTGTTGTATTCTTGCACTTCTGTTTTTCTCACTTCAGAGTAAATCTGAGACTCATGTGGCAGTGAGAATTTCTCTTCCCACAGCCATACAGCACTGAACAAATCTTGTCACATTTTAGCTAATTCCTCTGAGTATTTGTGAATAGGAGTCATTCACAGAGAGTCAAACTTTTCCTTAAGGATAAGGAAGCAAATTCCTATTTTGCAAAGAATTGTGTTGATGCTGCAGTCACTAGGTCATGAGAGCATATAAAGAAGCGTAATAAAAAAAGTAATTAATCTGTTAACTTCAGTCTGTTCTTTTTGTTTCCTTCCCCATCCTCCCTGCCATTCCTGAAATCACTAAAATGTTTTCAAAACCTGTCTTTGAAGCTTATAGTTATTGAATTGAGCTCTGTTATTAGTAAGGCTGGGAAGGGTTTATTCCAATTTCAGCAGAGCTTTACCAGGCAGCTTGTGCACACATAATTACAACTTGGTTCTCCATGCTTGAGAACTTGCAGCTCAAGGCAGTAGTCCTGATCTTATCAGTGTTTTGTAGTACAACAGTTTTCTTTATAATAGCATCTGTTTCACTTCCTAAGGCTTAACTCTACCCACAAAAGGAATTTCTGTGGATTCTCTGATAATCCTGAAATTGCTGCCCCTGTACCTTTTCATTGACTCAGTGCTTTCAGTTAACCCATGGGGTAGGGGAGGGGCTCTCTTTTTCACTGCAGCATTTAGCCTAGTCCCTAAGTGGGTATTTCAGCAGATTTCTGCCCTAAAACCTCTCAAAACTGGAGGTCTGCAGTAGGGAGGTGGGGGATGATGCAGTAGAGAGTTTCATGCCAGAAGGTTTTTTTCCACTTTTCTTGTACATGTTAAAGCTTTAGTGGGTTCTCTCCAGTTCAGAATTTGCCATTTGAATACAACTTTGTATCCAGGGCTTTAGCTGAGCCCCTCTCAAACACCTGTATGAAACAGGTGAGAGAGAAGGGAATGATCTGGCACAGGATCATTTTGAAACCCTCATCAGTGTCCCTGTTTGCACACTGACTGCAGTTGTGCAGGCACAACTGGAGAAGGAGATGATGAGCTGCTGTTCTGTTTGCTTTAGTGCTTCACTTCATTGAACACAGTTTTGATTCTTTAGTCTCTGAGGGACAGATGTGTGAGGTGGTCATACTTGACAGGTAGGTGTCCTGCAGAGAGGGGTTTAGGCTGCTTGTTTCTAAGGTTTTTGTCCTTAAAAGAATGGTCTGGATGAAGCAGAAAGCATTTGTCATCTCCTTTTCTGTCTGCTTGGCAACTCAGGGTTAACTCTGGCTTTTGAATGTGGGATTGGAAACCAAAATTGCTCTGGACATCTGAGCTTCCCTCTAATAAGATATTCCAGGTGGTTAGGGAGTAATCCTAAAATAGCTCCAGATATAATTGCTTCTGAAGCCAGGCCTGCAGCCTCTCGGGGAGGGGGCAGTCTGGGGGGCTCTGATGGCCTCTGAGGTGTGTCTGCAGCGTGGGGAAGGCTCCCTGGCTCTGCCCACAGCCCGTGAAGGTGCCCAGCCCTTCACAACACCTCTGCCTTCCCCCTCCTGCTCGGCATCGGGGGCTAAAGCACAGCCAGTGCTGCTTTTCTGCAAGAAACCAGATAAATTCTTGCCTGTGGTAACGCAAGAGCTGTTTGTCAAACATCAGCAAATTCCCTTGATACAGAGGGGTGGAGGGAGAGGCAGGACTCTCCCCAGAGAATGACCTGCCTCTCTGAACAGTGTTTTTTCCTTCCTGCAACTATTGCCTGACTTACACAAAGGTCTTTTAATGACTTGTGAGGATATATTGATTTCTCAGGTTCCTGCTGTTCATACGGAGGAGGGCTTCTCAGCATAGGGTAACTTTGTTTTCCTAGGAGGAATGGAAAGGAAGCTTGATACCAAAGCTCCTGCTGAGTTCTCTTGCTGTGCAAAGTGTAGTTTATTCTGCGTATGGAGCACCTCTTACTTCTGTAGCTTCCTGGGGCTCTTTACTGATTTACCTGTTCCAGTCGTGCTCCATTTGGTGTTCTGACTGCTGCCAATATTTGGTATCTTTGGTTGTAGCCTTGGCACGGACCCAAAGGTTTTGGTGAGCAGAATAGTCTCTCAAGATCAAAGCTGAGGCCTGGGAAAGTGCCTGTCGGTGCTTGTACTCTGTTCTCTGAATAAATAAGGCTTTATTCCCCGGCTGCTGAGCTGACATTTCATGCTAGCCTGAGACTTTGCTAACTCTGCCACCCAAAACAAACCTGTGCTATGTCCTCATGTCTCCACAGCCCATGTGTTGTTTCAGTGCACCCTTGCTGATTTACACCGCGGCAGCTTGCACCAAGGTGGATGAGAAGCACTCTATCTTTTCTGATAGCTTGACATGGGGAGTGGTAACTGGCTTTAAACCTTCCCAGCTATTGCAGGGGGAAATGCTAATGCTGTCCACTGTCTCACCTCGGATTGCTCCGTGTCATGCCAGGTGATGTCCATCTCTGCCAATTTTCTGGACATATGGCAAAACACTGATGGCTTCAGCTAGCTTTAAGCTCCTTTTCAGTAGCAAGGTGTGGGGGAGCATTACTTCTGTGCTCTTGAGCATCTCAGGATGTAGGTATGGGAAATAGGGTGCATCTATTCTGCTTAATCTTTATATTAAACCTTAATCTTATGATTTTTTTTCTAATTACCCTTTTTCTTCAAATAGAACAAGTAAAATAACATCTAAAGGGTCTTTAATCCCATGGAAAGTTTTGTTCCTGGAAATTTTACCAAGTTCAAACTCACTGGCAGTAGAGAATTATCTCCTTTAAGCCTTCTTCTATTTCCTGTCCCTGTCTTCAAATGTAGCAGAATAAGCTCTCAGCATGACCAAAATTCCCTATGATAGCGAGTGTTTTGCTTCTTGGAGCACCCAGTTTAACACCACGAGCAGTTTTGCCCTCTGGATTTATAAGCAAATACAAACTTGGGAAGAAAGCAGCTCAGCCCTCCACCAAATCACTATGCCTTAGAGTGTGTAAAGTTGAGGGTGGGAAATAGCTTCTGACAAGACTGTCTCTTACTCTGACTGTTTACATAGGTTTGTTGATCTGAGTTCACAATCAGTGGGGTTTTAGGAGCAGCTGGATGTTACCATAATTAGCCAAAAAACTGTGTTTTTAATCTCTGCTAGCAAAGGACACCCAGATGAATCCTCCTGTGAACAAAACCGGTTGTCAGATCTCTTCCTAGAGAGGACTGGGAATTGATCTGCTGTAATAAACAGCTGACATAACAGAAGTGGCAATAATCCCCCATTAAATATCTTTCAGTTGATGGGACTCAGTGGATAATTGACTTTCCAGCAGGAATTACTGGCTCAAACTAAATCAGCAGGCATTAGGGCAGCTCAGTGCAGTGTTTTTTAAAGGGGGAAATGTAGCTTTGCCTGGCCTTGACAAGAGCTATTCATCTTTCTAATTCAATGTATGTGTCACGACCAGATGACTCCAAGATTTCAGATATTGGACCACCTCTCTAATTCGCATGCTTTTTTTTGCGTTGAAACCTTTTGATATCTTCAGTGCTTTTCTATCTGCATTAGGATGCTCTGTGATTATCAGAACAAGGGTAGTCCAAACTACCTTGCTTGGGTGGATTTGGCTGTTCTCTTTCCTGGAGGGGCTCTGGAGCACCTGCTATACTAGACATTTATGAAATTTATGGTTTAAAGATGCTTGAATGGTTTTTCAGAATCATTCTTCTGGTGTTGGTCCTGCTGTACAGCCAGAGTCTGCCCCTGCTGGTTTCCAGCCCTGGTGATCATTTCAAGGATGATGACTTACCAAGTAGAATAGGCCTAACTAGAGTAATCCTTTTAATGCCAAAGAAGAATGAACCTTAATCCGGCAAAGCTGAGCTTTCCATTTCTGTGGGGAAAATCCAGATCCAGGAGCTTCCAGAATTAAGGGTCCTGGGTTGGCGAGAAGCTTTCTGGTGGGTTTATTTCCCTCTTTCTTCAGCATACTCTGGTTTTGGTTTTGTAGGTGAGTGGGAGTAGGACAGAAGGGCATTTCCAAGTGTGTTTGGTGTCACCTGGTGAGCAGGAAGGCAGGATGCCCGGGTAACACCTACACCTTTCACTAGGGGCTCTAGGATGTGCATTGGTAAAATGATGGACATGGAGAGCAAAAGCAGCACCTCTCTGTTTAGGTGTTGGACCTTATTTTACAGCAAATCACCTGCTCTGGGGGGGCAGATGAAGACGGGGGCTGTTGGTGTTGAGGACTTTAGAATGGTTTTCCTTGGTATCAAGACAACTTTTTTGAGATGAGTTTCTGTGGGGGAAAAAAAATCTTAGAGCTGAAAAACTTCCCCTACCTTCAGTAGTTGCCTGGAAGGTGAAATGGCACTTCCCATTTTGGGCTGAGTGTCAGAGATTCCAGGAAAGTGTTCTGTGACAAATGCACAAATGTCCCCCATCTTCCTAATAATCTTGGTCTAAGCCAGCAGCTGCTTTTGCACATGTTTGTGCCCAAAAATACACATTATCAAGCTTTCTGGAACTGTCCATAAAGCCTTTCCCTGGCAGTCCTTTCACCCTTTCGTGTTTCTCTCCCTAGAATGGCAACGTGACCTGGAGTGATGAAGGTGATGGATGCAGAGGAAGAGAAATTTCAAGAGACTTTGCCAAGGTCAGTCTGATCATGAGGATCTTTGGGAAGGGGTAACTTTGGGAAATCCTTCCCCTGATCTGTCACAGAGGGGGACTACAAAGTCCTCACTATCCCTCTATATTGAATTTGTAAGAAAACTGCTTTGTCCTGCAGGCTTCTGCCCACAACCTGCGATTTTGTTGCCTTTGGTCACTGGAATATAGATTGAACTAAGACTTAATAACCACACTTTTGACATTTAAATTCTTAGTCAGTACTTTCTCCAGCTGGGAGAAGAGTATTTTGTTTCTTGAACCTGATTAGCCTTGTGATCATGGATTTGAATGTGGCAGCTGTGTGTCACATCAGCCAGAGGAATTCATTTTAGACTAAGCTGGCTCTTTCTGAAAGGGTGCAGCTAATTGCTCTGCAAATACTGGTACATTTTCTTCCCAGAGCTCAATGTGTGAGAAAGCACAGAGGTTCACAGGAAACGAGCCTAGAAAGTCCTTCTGCTTGACTAGGTGAATACCAAGCAGCTAGCAGCACCTATGGAGAGGCCAAAATACGTATTTCCCGATGAATCTTTGCTTTTCTGTTTTGCTGCTTCACAAGCATAGCTACAACAGGCGAAAAATTCCCTGGAGTGATGCAGGATTCTCCCTCAGTGTAAGCAAGTGGAGGAATCAAATTCTTCATGTACAGCGTTGTCTTCTGTCTTATTTTATATCCTCTTCCATCTCAGTGAGAGACTGACTTCAGCCCTTTCAGCCTGTCACTTTGTGGCCTCACAGGATTCTTGATAGGTGAAAATTAGATTCTTCTGTTTGAGTTAGTTGTAAGATGACACTCATGCCTGACCCTTCTGAAAATCAGGGGATAATGTTAGCATACAGTGCCTCCCCTTTGGAATAAGCTGCCAATGGAACTTTCATTTAAATGCTTGGGTTTTTAAGCCTTTTGTAAAATGATTTCTGCAGCAAATTGGTTCCAGGCTGGTTTCTGATATTTTTGAAGGCTTTTTTGGCTTATTTTAGAGGAGCCTTTCCTGCCAGGCATTAGTAGTTAGAGGAAAGCTTTATCCTTTCATCTTCTCCTTCAAGGGACTTGGAGTTTGTCACTTACTTGACAATCCTTGAAGGAGGGAATCATGCGGCTAGGAGAAGCTGCAGAGAAGTTTACTTCCCTGGTGCCTCAAAGGTGTGGACCACTAATCTGCCCTGACCCACTGTCACCTTTCATTTGGTTGTCTCATCTTTCTTTCCAGCTGGTCTTAATAGTTTCTCTTCCCTTTGCTCTCAGGTAGTTTCAACCCCTGCTCTGTAGCAGTGCTGTTAACTGAGTTGAATCCTGCTCCCTTCCAGGTGCCAGTCTCTGCTGTGCCTGGATGAGTTACTGGGGGGCTGAGCAAGGCAAGCTGTAATGAGGGGCCTCAAACTATCACTGCAGCCTTGGCCACCGAATTGCTCAGGAATCCTTCCTTGTTCTGCCTCTTTACCTGTGGCTCCTTTCACCCCTCCAGTATAAACACCAGGTCATTCGCTGCAAGAAGTATTATTACTTTATTTTTTGTCTTACTGTGAATTGTGCCTTCATTTTTATTTTTCCCCCAGCTCTATGAACTGGATAGTGACCCTGAACGGAAAGAGTTCCTGGATGACCTCTTCATCTTTATGCAGAAGAGAGGTGAGCGAGCATTTGTTTGAATATCGATAGGATAAAATGGGGCAGAGGGGTGCTGCTGCTGTTTTTGTTCTTCCCTCCTGAGTTTGAAAGATCAAATCCAGCCCTTAAACTTGCAGATCAGGTGGAAGAGCAGTGGTAAGACTTGGATATTTGCTTCGGGAGATGAGCGCACTAGATGAGCCCACTACCCTGTGGCTTATTTTCACAGACACTATTTCTTTACCTTCCTACTTAATACTGATGTTGCCCTTGCGCTGAAGAGCCCAAGAAGCCTGATTCCCAAAGGATTTCTGAAACAAGGCTGAGTACCACTGAGTATTTTCTGCTCTCCCCTTCAGGTGGCACGATCACACATCTTGTCATGTTTGATTTCAATGGCATGTGGAAACTGAGTGTGAATGCCTTCACAGTCTGCACAGAGTAGTGGCATACAATCTGGGGACTGGGAAAATAGACACCAAGCCACATTTTCCTGTAGATTCACAATGTGTCAGCTTTCCGTTTAGTAATTTTGTGTAAAGCACACAGTTTCTCACATTCCTCCCTGTGGTGTCAGCAACTTGCATCTTTCCTTGCTATAGGAGCCGTGATGCATGTGTGAAGTAGCTCAGCTGGGATGTCATAAAAGTCTCTTTCTGTCCCCTAGTTATCAAAGTTCTGTTCCCTCATTGCAAACTATTCATAATAAAAATATATGTAGATGTGATATTGTATAAAACATAACTGAACATTTGTGGTAAATCCTTTGTCGTGCTCTCTTCCTTTACCCCTCCAAGCATGCCAGGCCAGGCAGACTCTTCCAGCAAAGGTGCTTCTGACAAAAAGTGTTAAATTGCTCTATAGACCTTTTCATTGTTTCCAAAAAGTCTGCTGAAGGTAGGTGTGAAGAGCAGACATAAAAGGGACCCTTTGCTCCCTCATGGCATAATGGCCTCTGAGCCTGCTGGACCAAACAAGTCAGGCTTGCTTATTTATAAGGGGCTGCCTTAGTGTCACAAGCAATATTGTGCCCTCAGAGTCTAAAAAAGCATAAAGATGCAACATCTCAGTCTCATCTGTTTGAAAATGACCCATTTGTTGGGTTGGAGCTGGAGTCTTATTTCCAGTTGTCTTTTGAACCCTGCATCTTCAGATGCATCCCCCTCTGCAGATGGCTAGATCACAAGCAGAGGAAAGGTTATCCAAACTGCAGCTATATTGCAGTTGCTTTCCATATCCGTGTCCGTTTTTCCTGGCATGGCTAGAGCTGACAGCTGACCTGTGTGAATTTTCACTCTCCAGCAGTTTTGAGGTTATGCTTCCAAGTCAATTAAAAATTAGACCCAGGTTTTGCTGATATTTTTGGCTTTTGTATGCAGAGGCATAACCAAGCTTAATTAGTTTACTTGCAAATGTTAACCTGAGCTTGCATGTTAATGTAAGGGCTGGGATGACTGACAGAGAAGACAATAATCTGAAGTGTGTGATTGGCAGCAATAGAAACCTCCAGATACCTAGAGAGAAATCTGCTTAATACTTCAATGTCTCCTTCCTATTACCTTTTAATTATTTATAATTGACATGTTCCCGGCGCAGGGGCTGAGCTGGTCACCAGCTGGTTGCTGTAGGAGTTTAGCTTTTAATCATCTGGGCATTTCCAAGTGTATTTGTTTCTGGAGACTCCCTTGTTTTCTTGGTTGCTAGAAGGCTGAAAATGAAATATAAGAGCCCGGCACCCATGGGGGGAGATGCCATGAACTGACAGCGCTCTGTCAGAGAGGCTGAAGTGTTTGGCCCTGCTCTGGAGAGCTGGCTAGATGGCAGGGTGTGAGGCAGTGCTATGAGGCTTGCTTTATATTTTGGCACCCCCAAAAGAAATGGGCAGAAGGACTCTGGGGAGCTAAGCTGCTTTAGGTTGAGAGGAGAACTGAACAGCATATGTTGAGCTATAGGAGGCAGCTTCTCTTCTGTCATTAATCTGACCTGCTGTGTCTTACTGTAAAGGAAATCTTTTGATTTAGCATAGTTTTTCGGAAGCTGTATTGTCCACTTTTCCCATGCTTGCTCTCCCCAGCATTATCTACAGCAGGGCTTTGGTTTTCTAGTGGACAGATCAACTTGCTCACTCTGTCCTAATGTGGGATCTTCAAAAATCTGTGAGCTTCTACAGCAAAGTTATCATAGGATACCATTCAGGCTTTCATTTCTCCTCCCCTTTCTTTATGTGCCAAACAAGCATCCGAAACCAAACAAGGCTGAACAGCTGCCTTGTTCTGAAAGGGTCCCCCAAAGATGGATGCAGCCGAGGCCTCATTGCACCTGAGAGCAAAGTGCTGTGTTTCTTAGCTAGTATGTGTGAAGAGCTGGTTAATTTGCACCTCGTGTCTGAAGGGAATGGAAAGCAGCTCTGCTAGTAAACATTGCTGGTGTAAAGATGGGGGATTTTGCTGTTGTCCAGAAGGAGCTGGAGAAGTGCTGGCCCTTGTTTAGGGCTGATGGATTTGGGGCACAGATTGCTAGCTGATGCTGAAGCAAAAAAAGCCTGATGTGAAAGATAAACGACAGATTTCACAGGAGCTACTGAGTAGTTGGAGGGATGAAAAGATTTGCTTGTTGGTGCTGCTGTTAGGAATGTACCTAGAAATGTGAAGCCATGAAACAGGCTTAATGCAGATCAAATGTGCAGGTCTCATCTGCCTCTGAGCACAGCAGGTTGTCGCTGAATGACCACAGCTGCAAGTGATAAAATGGCCCTTCAGTGGCAATAATGATGGAAGAGGGAGATGAGAGGAAAGCTGTAACTCTTCCTTTGTTGGATGTTTTATTCCTTGTATGTGTTTAGTTGAATGGGTCCCACCATGGCTGTGATTGAAGGGGCAGATGGGGAGAGGAGGGGAGACCAGCCGATGAGAGCAATTAGTGTGCAGGACTAGCTTCGAACCAGGCCTACAACAGGAGTGACCTGGCGCAGCTCAGCAGGGACGATGCTAGTTTGCTGTGTTACCACTTCCACCTTCTCTTTTCTCAGCTCTTCTGCAGTCTAGAACCAAAGGTTGTCTTTCCTCAGACTGAACAGGGATAAGCAGCTTCACCAGTGGCTTCCCTCCATCTCCATTGTTGATCTGGTGTCTTGTGACAAGTTCAGCCTTGATGTCTTAAGATCTGGTTTCTCAGAAACTGTATTTTTAACCTCCTGCTGCATGAGGAGCCACCTTATGGGCACGTTTGTAGTTCAGGGCATTTTTACAGGCACGGGCTGAGGCTTCTCTGCTAGTGCACTGTGGAGTGGGTTGCATTGCAGGCACAGAGGTGAGAATTGTTCTGCCTGCCACTGAGGACACTGCAGGCAGGAGCAGTTTTCTAAGTGTCCAGGCTAGAGCTGTGTCCGCTACAGTAACGCAAGGTAATGTTGTGTTCCCCCATCTTTGGTATCACCAAAACCAATTTTATTATAGAAATGCATGTAGCCAGATGGACAAGTTCATTTGCTCAGATCAGACTCAGTCTTAGAGATGATGACATCTTCTCTTCTTTTCAGGTCTTTCTCGCCCTGTGAGCATACCCTGAAGCTGAATTTTGCCTCCATTTTTTGTGTGTGCGTGATAAAAGCTATAGGTATGATGAGTAGTAGAAAAACATAGGTGTATTGTAGCATGTACTAGGTAGCATAGCTAGACTGCTTTTTGTCCCCAGGTAGTGAAGCAGTGTTAGTGGTGTGATTCTTCAAGCCACTCAGGCAGCCACCAGTAATTGAGGTGACTATTCCACTGGTGCTGATGAGGAGAGAGTTGGAGTAGTGGGACTGTTTGATCCTCTGGAAGAATCAGCAGTGCTCGTGCAAGACATTCCTCTTGAAAAGGTTTGATGGGGAAGAGATCTAACTGCATGCTATGGTGTATTAGGAAAGGCTCCCTTTCAAGGGAAGCTGTTTTGTTCATTTTAAGTACTGCCTTTGTGAAGACCTCATAAAATGCCTTCAATTGTACAGCTCTACTAATTTTGTTCAAGGTTTCTGTGTGACCTTGGTTTTCCCAGATGGCTTGACCATTCTGGTTTTTTATGTGTATATACATAGAAGGGGCTTTGTAAGTCTGACCGTGTGGTTTTAATGTTTTCCTGCTGTTGTATGCTGTCTGCACATTTTAGATGTGGAAATACAACAAATCCAGGGTATTGACAAAAGCATTTACTGATGGATTCTTTTATCTGTAGGCCAAGTGGTGTTTATGAAATGTTTGTTCAGGGAATACACTTTATTCCTCTACTGATTCAATTTTGCAGGTTTCTTTTGGTCCTCTGGAGATATTTTTGAATCTGAATTAAGCAATGTAGTTCTCTAAATGACACATCAATAGACATAAATTCTCAGCATCCTTTGCTCATGCTACCTGGTTAATGCTGAGCCACAGCAAATGCTTCCCTAAATAGCAGATGATGTTATGCAGTGGAAAATTCTCACCTGAAGCACTGCAGAGGTCTCTTCTGGATGGTCCAAATTAATCAGGCAAGGCGTCTGCTCCGTTAGACCCTTGGATTTGTGCGCAGCTACATCTCTGCCTCCTGTACCTCCTTTGAAGAACCTCTTCTTTGGGCAACTGTCCCAACTTAGACTCAGGAAAAATGGTGACTGGTTTCTTGTGCAAATGGTAAGCAGTGGGGATCAGTGAAACATTTTAGGTTTTTACTATTACATTGTTAGAAAGAGTGAAAAGAATGACTTCCTAAGTTGTAGTGAGAACTGGCATTCTGGTTTACATTCCTCTGTATTCTTTAAGTAGTTTGAACCTTTCAGAACAGGGAACAGAGAAGGTACTACTGCATGTACTTTGAAGTGATGCTAGGATAAAAACAGGTGCAAAGCCAAGTGCTTGGGATCTTTTGAAAAACTTGAATCCAGCTCCTCTGGGGATGCAAAGTCCTGCCTGTACCTGAGGTAGGGTTCTCTGTAGCATCCAGAACACTCTCACAGGGATCGTTTTGTCCATCAACCTTAGGTGCCAGGTGACTAAAAGTCTCCACCA